TTGGCTTAAATCCATCAAAACAGCAATGTTCCAACACTACATCTGCCTTCCCTCTAAATCAACGTGTAGTCATATTCCTTCACCATATTTACTCCCTCACAATAAACACATTGGTTCTTTCCTTCCAGTCCTTCTAGAAAGCTTCTCATTTAAGTTGACTTAAAACTAACCTGAGTTTCAAATCATTTTTCCTGGATCACAAGAGCTTTACTAACATCTAACACCACCGTGAAATGTGTATATGTTTGTGAGCCATACCTGTCTTGCACCTGCAGTAATTTCTCTAGTGGTTTCTCATGTGTCCCTTGAGGGTTTATCTGAGGCCACAAAGACATAAAAATGTGGCCAAAACAGCCTCTTTGCGTACAACTTATTTTCAGACTTTTTTCTGGCACCCTCTACTTAACGAGACTATTCCCTTGCTTTAAAGCAGTATTTGCTTCTGTGGGACTATGTAGGGAGGAAATTAGTGTGCAGGCAAGATCTGGCCCAGGAACTGTGCATTTACATACAACCAAATTTGGGCATTTGCTAAAATCTGCTTTGTGCTAGATGCAGAAATTGGTAAACTTCACACCACTAGCATTCAAAAAATGCAGCTATTTTGTGCTAGTTCTCCATTTTTTTGCATGTGCTTTTTATTTATGGAGTCTAAATTTCCTTATGAGGAGACAGATAAATCTTGAAATTAATTAATTGAGATCTCTGCTGCCCACCCACCAGTTTTTGAGTACTCTTTCTTTGTTGTCCGTCACCAGACGCTTTGCCTTATTGTTATGTTAATTATCACAAGCTTTTCAAAAGGCCACAGTTGTAGGAAATTACACTTTGAGTATGCTGCCAGGAAGCCTACATCATGTGAGGTTTCTTTCCAGCAGATTCTGCAAAATGCATGTGGATATTTTTAGGAAAAAAAACTATCACAAAACAAAGGTCTTGTATTTAATTAGTTCATTTTTCAATAGCCCTTAGCCCTTTGAAAGCACTAGGTCAAAATCTGAGCCAACATGTCTACCGCCAAAATGAAACTGAGGAGGACCATGACCTTCTGAGGGAGCAAGGAGAGCCAACGGGCAGCTGACTTGCTGCCCTGGCTAAGTGGCACATGCCAACCCAGAGCCATAATAGCAATTTTCACCTGTAGTAACCAGGCAGACTGCTGAGATCCTAAGAGTACTGCACTGTACTGCGGAAATAGAGGCACTACAGGAAGAGGAAGCAGCAGCATATTTCATATACACATGGTAATATGGACTGGGGGCAATTCTGGCTAAGGAAACAAAGGCAAAACTTGGTCTTCTTGTAGTAAACCAGAAGTGCTGACTGTGCCTGCTGCTAAAGACAACCTTGAATTAAAATCTCTTTAGGCAAGAAGAGTAGGGCATTGTATTTTTCTTACCGTTTTATAAATGTATCTGCCTTGAACGTAGGTGCAGAGGTCTGTTGATTGGTTCTCTAGTGCACATTCACAGATTTTATACTTAGTAGGAGAAACATTAAAATTTTTTCCCCAGTCTTCCGGTCCATTCTGCAAACCACAGCAACGATTCTGCAAGAAAGGAGGAAATAGGGAAATGAGGAAAAAAAAGTGATGACTTGCAGCGAGGGGAGAGTAGGGAAGGGAGTCGAGAGAAACAAAGGAGGAGAAATTCTCCTTTCATCTTTTCCCATGTGGAAATCTTCCCAAATTGATGCCTATCTCAAATACCCTCTAAATTTCCCTACCAGTTATCTGAACGGTGAATGCACAAGTGAGAAAAAGAAAAAAGGAAAAACACCAGATTTCCAGTTTGCAGGGCTCAAAAAACATAAACCTACTATAAAGGTAATAACTGTTAGTGCCCAAATATAGCATGGAACAATGCTGGGTATTGTATTTTTTCAGAATCAAGTCTTTTCTCTGCAGGTTATACTTGCATGTGGTAAGTAACATCTACAGTAAATCACATTCTGAGAAGTCAGGCTGAAAAAGTAAAATTCAGGCACATAAAACTGTGAAATCCAGAAAAATAACCACCTTGAATAATGGTTTACCCTTTAAATTAGAAATGAATTGAGGAGGCCAGGGCTCCATTTGGGGTCTGTGAAACCTAAACCAGGTGCAATTTCATTTCAGGTTCCACTTTATTCATGCCACTAAAGCTCAGAGGTGCAGATTTGGGTTTGTGGCCCTCCCTCTTTTAAAAGGCTGCTGGAAATGTTCATGTTGTTTTGTATAAAAGCAAAGCCATGGGACATAATAAAAGCAATCCTGGTCTATTTAAAAATTAATATAGTAATTATGGGCTTTTTCATTTTGCTCACCCTTCACTCATCCCTCCAGGGAACTGCTTATTATAGCAGAAGAAATAAGTTGGCTCAGAAGCAGAGGACTGGGCTGGAGGTGGAATGGGGAAGGAGAAGAAATATAAGCCACCCAAATATCATTTCTTGCTTCCTCTCCTTTCACACTAGCAGCCTTCAAAAACATGTGCCCTTTAAAGCCTATCCATCAAAGTCCACTGGGAGGATGGCAGAGGCCTACACTATCAGTGATGTCAGTGAGATTCAAGGGTATTCCCTGTGTGATATACAGGACGAGGTAGGCACTAAGTGTCCACCTTCTGGTGTCCTGCAGGTGAGAGAGTTTAGAACAGATATAAGCACAGGGAAAACAAACCTCGTTCGTATTATGTTTTCTTTCCCCTTCTTGCACAGTAAAACATGGCAGTTAATGACTTCATAGCACGAGAATATTCCAAATGAAATACATCCCAAAAGCTTTCTTTGTCCCTGGAGTAACCTTCTTGCCTCGAGAGTACAGGATGGGGAGCAGTACCAAGATAACAGTGAAGGAGCAATTTCCCTCCAGAAGAGAAAGCTTTAACAAAGTAGCAGGCAGCCTTCTCATAAAAGACCTTATTTAACTGGCAATCTCATTACTTGGGGACATACGTAAGGGGAGACCAGGCCCTGTCATCCCCTCAGTGATGAGTCAGGCTTGTGTGCAACCAGATGCAGAGACAGCGTCCCCTGGATGGGGACATGAGCCCTCCCGTGCAGCAGCAGCCATCCAGCTCCAAGTTACCATTTCATTAAGGACCTGTGAAGTGATGAACCCAGGCTAGGAAAGAATAGGAAGGTGGCGATGCAGAGCTTGTTAAAATGTTACAATCCTTTGTTTAGAATTGTCATTAATAAAGGCCTTATAAAAATGCCTGCCACTGTGTCAACAGTGGATTGAAGATTATTTGTTTTAAAATAAGAAGGCTAATTTCAGTAAGTGATAAATAACTCTATCTTTCATATCCTACTGAAAAGAAATATAAACGCTGCAGCTAAAACAAACTGGTCTACATTCCATCTTCTTATCTCACATTTGAGCTGGAAAGGAAGATTTTCTGGAGATCAGGAAATACTGCTGAGACATTTCAGGCATTAGAAGAACTGGCCATCGCCAGATCAAACCAAAGCAGATGCCAGTTTCTTTATGTGAAAGTGATCCAAGCATCTGAGAAAGCAGGGAGCTTTGGACACTGCAAACTTATGCAGTGCTTTCAAGAAAATACAGAACAAAAAAACAGAAGTGTTACTTTATATTTTATTCCCAACGTGAGACAGAGATCAGAAATCTTTAAACATTTCTTGCACAGGTTCATCTGATTGAAGCTCTGAGGAGGCCCAGATAAAGTTTAGAAAAGGAGAAAAAAGTCAGCATCCCAGTCCACCCAGAGGAAAACTCCTTGCTACAGGTATATTAAGCCAGCTGCACCTTTTGGATAAACATGGCTAGAACAAAACCTATACTTTATAAAATATATAATTTTCACTGGCCTAACCATAGCTGTGCAAGAGTGGCAGCTCTAGCACCACACAACAGTCTCGTAAAAATCAGTAGATTTATGACCAAGATGCAAAGTCCAATTCCTTGGTTCCTGAGAGCTAGCTGAAACTACACATTTGGTCTATCGCATTCCACCGAGAATTACAAGCCTTAAAATTATCCTTCCTCCAACACATGCACAAATTTCTCTAGTGACCTGCAGTAAGGCTGCTAGATTGGCAAAGCGTAGAAGAACCACGAAAAGCAAATACAAACACATGCAGAGTTTGTAAAGGTCCAATAGCAATTACAGGGCTTCCAAACCCCACAGGCCTGCTCCTTAGACCCTGTGAGCATTCCTG